GGCCGGGGGCGGCTTTTTACCGTGTGGTTGACGCCCCACATCAACACGCTGAGGATGGGCTCACTTGCGCGGAACAGCTTGACTTTCTGTCCTATAAAATGCTTCTTTTTCGTCTTGGTTTTGCTGGCGCTGACGGCGGCCGCCGCCGCGCTGGTGCAGTTGGCCGCCATGTTTTCCAACGGCTCTCAACGGGAAAAAAACCGAAAACTCAAATCCCCCCCCAAAAGTTTAAAAACCCCAAGTTGCGAGGCGTTCACAGGGACATGTCGGCCCCGGTCCGGTCCTCCGGGGGTCTGTGGGCGGTGGCTGTGTCGTGGGGAGGTCAGCGGCGGAGCATTTTGCGCCGTCACCACCCTTTCCTCCTCCTCCAGAGCAGGCCGCGGCGTCCCGAGAGCGGTTAGCCGGCCATGGGGCTACCAAGTAGCCGCCCACGTCCCGCCCGTCTCCGGGCAGCTGGCTCCGCGTCTTCCGGCCCTCGTAAAGCCCGGGGAGTGGGACCCCCCAACACCGGTGCGAAACCGCTATGTGCCGCCTAGGAGGAGGGAGTAATCCCCCTCATGGTGAGCCTCAGACTGCCGTCAGCCGCCGCCAGCCCAGCGGGTTCGTCGGGGTCTCCTCAAGATGGCGTCCGCAAGGCGCCTCCCGGCCACCAGCGCCCCCCGGCGGCCGCCGGTGGAAGTGCAGGGGGCCTGGAAAACCGATTTAGCATCGAAAAAAATGTTTTTTTTTATCGTTAAAAATATATATATTTATATATTGGTTGCGGTGGCGTGTTGTCAATTTAGTATCGAAAAAAAACTTTTTTTCATCGTTAAAAAAGTATATAGGTTGATGTGTCCCTGATGTGGGCGGGGCTTGGTGACGTCAGGATGCAGCGGGATGTACTTGGAGCAACCGGGCGGATTACGGCTAATCCGGATTACGCAATCAGATTACAGAAACAAACTATTGTAATTGAAGATTACGTCATTATATCGCTGTTAGACCGACAAGCATCTCTAGATTGCAATTCGACAACAGCACGGTTCTTCGTTGGTTTATACGTTTCCGGAAGAAAACAGAGAGGGCTCCAAATCAATTCAATTTCAGTTCAATTTTATCTATATAGCGCCACATCACAACAACAGTTGTCTCACAGCGCTTTCCAAACAGAGCAGGTCAGACCCTACTCTGAAGTTAATTACAGAAACCCAACAATTCCAACCATTAACCATGACCAACAACCACACAAACTCACACTAAGGGCAGTTTGGAGTCCAACAACCTAACATGCAGGTTTTTGGACGGTGGGAGGAAGCCGGAGAACCCGGAGAGAACCCACAGACACAGGAGAACATGCAGACTCCACCCAGAAAGGTCCTGGTTCCCCCGGGACTCCAACCCAGAACCCTCTGGTCCTGGTTCCCCCCGGGACTCCAACCCAGAACCTTCTTGCTGTGAGGCGACGGTGCTAACCACCACACCACCCAAGAGATGGGTCCCACATTTGTAAAAATATTTACAAACATGAATGAAATTAGAGTATGAAGAGAAAAATATGAGATTGTATGATCATATTAACCCAAAAGGTAATTGCCTGAGTCAGTCACTTCAGGTACTGTGAAGAAGTCTGGAGACACTTTGATTATTTGCATGCATCAATAAAATAAATAGAGGATTAGTAACTTTACCTACAGTCCTTCATTTACATTTAGATACTTTACATTTTGTTTTTTTTTCTTAGTGAGATGTGTTTTTTTCTTTAAGTGGCTACCGTGAAAATGAAATGAAATTCTGAAAATCTCAAAAGAAAAAATCTTAAAGAGCTTCGAAAAGTAAAGAAGCATAACTCTGGGATACTCAGAAATGGAGGAATGTTTGGGAAGCAAGATATGAATAAAAAAGGGTTGTGTCAAATTTCATTTTGTGTCAGCAAATCCTGGTCACATCTGAAGCTTTTAAGTTTAAGAATGTAGAGTCATTCATTCAGAAGGTTGTCGGTTCAATCCCCAACTTTGTGTTGCAGTTCCCTTTGAAAATATATTGACCCTTAAATTGTCCCAATGTGAGACGGTAACTATCACACATCTGTTTTATGCATATTCTATAAATTGTGAAAATTTTAAATGCTTTTTAAGCATGAAATGGATTCTGGAGGATTTGGGAATAGATAAAATCTTTGTTAATCAGTTTAGGAAAAAAAATGTTATTGTTATTACCATAAAAAGCTGAGAGGTTTATTCAAAGTTAACAGGTGAGGCCTTTAAACCAAACAAGTGAAGTCACGCTTTACGTTGGGATGAATTAGAAATACACGGGGGATTTAATCTGTGGCTTTGGTGGAGTTTTATCAAAGGAAAGAAGAAAAGTTTTAAAAAGAAAAAAAGACATTCCTCTGGCAGACCCTTCCATGGTGTTGCATTATGGGAGTTGTAGTTAGTATAAGATCTGTGGTCAGAAGTATTTCTGCTTCATACAAAAGATCAAAGTCAATATTGTTTTCAATTTTCTTTTTAACACCCATATATTTACTGAAGTATTTACACACCTCCCCTGTTCCAGAGGATCAGCTATTACTCAGATTTCATTTTCACATTTCTTTGTATTAATTTGAATCTACAAATGTGACTTTGTAGGACCTAACAGTACTCCTGTTCTTCAAGTTATATGTTTGGAGAGGTTTTATGTCCTCTAATTCTGTTTTTAATAGGACTACACTTCTATTTGCATCTATCAGAAAAGAAAAACTCAGTTTTTTTGGAGTCTTTTTGTTTATTTTTGCCAGTAGCTCCATTTCTCTGGAGAATTTTAGGAGATTTTTTCCCCCAAATTTCCCACTGAGTGTGACTTCTGTCCGGTAGCCCGGGCCACCGAAAACCGGTGCCACGCGCGGTGCGCGTGCGGGTGTGCGCACGGGCCCTGCGGAGTCTCCGGGCTGCCTGCCTGTCTGTTTGCCCCGTGCGCGGAGGCGACAAAATAAAAAAGTCACGTGATCCAATATGGGCAGTCCTCCGACGGGGC